AATGTACATGTAAACAGAGGCTCAGATTCTCTTTTTAATATTTGCATAGCAATGAAATGCGATAGCAACGAAGACCGCCGCATTTTTACTTATTCTTCGTTTCATTTCATTATTTTCTCTCCGAGCTCTAGTTATGATTTTTTCTTTATTTCTTTTCATGATGAAAACTGTCAAAACAAGTCTTCCCTGACAATCTAGCTTTTTTTGACGATTTCTCTTAAGATTTGCATATCGTTTATTCAAAAATTTATGAGTGTCGTATAAATGACAAATTTATTACTAAAGCTTCAGGCAACCTAGTCTTGGGACTGGCTATGTGGTCGAGTACAGAACCGTTGGTCCATTAACGATCCAATAGGCCAAAATATCACATATTCGAAGTTATCTCTGCTTGATTTGACAGTTATTGCGTGACGCCGTCAATTTCGTGTATGCCATATGCACGCATACAAAGGACATATCTGCATCACGCCATGCGGGCAAAAAAAATACGGGAGCAGCTGGGGCCCGTTTCTCCAAAGTCCCGATAACTTTTCGTGCCCGAAATCAAATATTCAAATCGAAATAAAAAAAAATTAAAGCGCCGGTCCTGGCTAGCAAAATACTCCATTTTGTTTCATTAACTGATAGTTTTATCATGTTAGATGCAAAACTATTGAAACTTCTATCTTGCATGTAAACAACAACAGCTTTACGGACCCGGTTAATTATCGGGACTTTCGAGAAACGGGCCCCAGGACGGGAGTCACCGTAACCCGCACACGTTAAGGCTCATACAATTCTTAGCCATTTACTATTTTCTCATAGACCATAACGCACCTTGTCTACTCCCTAAAATCACAGTCGTCCCGAGAGAAAAATTTGTTCAGATATACAAGGCACGTTATAGTCTATTATATTAAAATGCCCACGTCGTATTGCATTCGGAGCTATTTGAGACTCATCGCGACGGCTTCAACTTCTCTAGTAATATTTCATGCAACTTCCTGATGTTCCTAGGAATTCTTCCCCAAGATGGTTAACTTTTAACGTTTCAAAGACCGTCCGTATGAAAGAGACAAAATAAAATAAAAAACAGAGATGTTAGCAGAAGGAACAATTGAGGGAGATCCCCTTGCTATGATGGGTAGCTGACTCTACTACACTAAGAAGTGATGGGATCTTCTAGACACCCTTGTTCCAGGTTTTGGGTATTTTCCGAACGACAAGAATTGTTGGATTATTTTAAAACCAGCTAAGGGAAAAATGTTATAGAAGCTTTCAAGGAATTGTTTATTAATATAACAGTGCAAGGGCAGAAACATCTCGGGGCGGTGATAGGTTCACGATCGGAGAGTATTTAAAGGAATATGTCAGCGACCTTTTTCCCAGTTGTGTAAATGAAGTTGCTAATATAAATAATATGTTAGTAGATTATTTGCTCTATTTCAATCGCAAGCGTACTAAGCAGCTTACATCCTCATTCAACAAGTCGTGTCTCATTCGCGTCAGCTAGGTCTGGCGGTGGAAAAAGGGTCATCGGCGTGGCCCTCAGTGCTTCCTGTTCTATTCTGCGCCGCTGTTAAACTACGCTATGACTTGGCAGTGGGTGATATCCCCTCCAACTGTGTTTTCGGGGAACTTTTTATTGTAAGCCAATCTATGATTTACAAAGGAGGAGGTTTTGCTGTACTCAGCGCCACAACGAGATAAGAGATCTCTGGAAGCCAAACCTCTGACTACTGTATGCAGTGATGTTGAAACTGAGCCAGTCCTCCGAAAAATCTATGGAGAACAGCAAAGTAGAGGAAACAAATACAATGTAAAGCACAATAGATGCGAGATTGGAGTGTCCATGCAAACGGGTTCTGGGAGGGTCTGTCACCCAAATGCTAAGTAAGGACGACCTAGAACTGCATCAGATCTATCGTAAGCATGAAAACTAGAATACCGTATTTATTCGAATAAGCGCCCAACCTCGAATTAGCGTCCACCTCGAATAAGCGCCCATCCTAAAGGCAGAAAAAGTAAATAAGCGCCCAGGCTCGAATAAGTGCCCACCCCACCCCACCTCCCTCCTATTCCCAGTCCAACTAAAATAAGCGCCCACTCCCACCCCACCCCCCTTCCCGCTCCCAACCGTCAAAAAATTGAATAAGTACTGATAAGAGACTTCCCCGAAGACGGAGTTTTCTTCAGTATTTTACAGAAACCTTGCTTTGTTACATCTTCGCGTTTTGTTATTACCATTTATTGTTTTGTTGCATAATAAACATGCTACACTTGCTTAAATGGTAAAAAATGTAGTAAGCGCCCACCTCGAATAAGCGCCCACTCAAGGTCCAAAAATTTCATAAGCGCCCAGGGCGCGGTTAATCGAATGAATACGGTACTAAGCGTCCGTATTCAAGGAGAGTTCTTGACATTGAGCTTGGGACGTGTAGGCTGTTTTTTTTATTTTTTATTTTTTATTTTTACAATAACTGGTTGGTAAAGAATAAGAAAGGAAAGTATTTTGGCCCCTTCTCGTCCTCTCCACAGCTCCTTTGCTTCCTATCAAAAGGTTTAAAAAGCTGGTACTCTCCTTGGAGTTGCCGCTGAAGTACTTTTTACGCGATCGTTACGTTTTGTTGAGGATTATTGATTCCAGAGAAAAGTATATTCGTCACAGAGTTTCCGACACGAGTCTCCCATTTTAACTGCACACCAGCATGGATAATACTTTGCGAGTTAGTCAAATATATGTACATCCACAATTTCTCTATTGTCGTTCTTTTGTTGTCTTCAAGAGCAATAACAAGGGGTGACTATATACATGACAGATAATTAGCACCGCCTTGGGGTCCGTGTAAACACTTCATTCGACTGCAACAGCGTCATAAATCCAACTTTGATGGATGTACAAATGAAAGGTTGGTGTTGGATTTATTTAACGACGCTTCCTATCGATACTGATATTGTAGCGTTTGATTCATTAAGTTGATTCTAATTAAACATTCGAAATATTTTTGGTGTTTTTGCCTTGCTAAAACTGTCAAAATGAGCATATCTTGCACTTCAAAAAGTTTGAACATCCCATTGGTCAAGCACAAATAGTTTTCTAGGCGTCACAACATTTTCTTGTACTTTCTAGAGTTACGTCACTACTAATTACGATCTGTGAAGCGAGACTACTCTGCATTGCAAATTCTGTTTTCAAGCTTCGTTTTATAAATTCCACCCAAATTACCATTCTCGCCCTGGCGGTTAGGATTATAAACTCGTGATCTGAGATAGCGGATTATTTGTTGCAGATTCGACGAAGCTTTTTCGATCTCGGCAAACAAAATGGTAAGCATTGCGGCAATATCTTTTGTCTACTCTCTCACATAGTGTTAAAGTAATAACGTAGTTTTAAGTTTGAGAGCGTTTTCATATATTGTTCATTTCGTTTCAAATGTGAATGTAAAACAGACAACATTATTTAATGTATCCAAACATTTAACCCGGGACTCAAATCGTTCGATCGTTTAGATGCGTATCCAAATTAACGGACTAAGAAATACTTAGCAAACCCGCGGTTAGTTGTTATTTTACCTGTCGGTTCCTGTAGAAACTTGCAAACGGCTTATGTATATGACACACCCGGATATGCTTACACGGTGACGTTAAACAAGCCGTGTGTTATTGCTACGAAATTTCAAAGAGAAATGCCTTAAAGTTTTCTAATTTTCGATCAATGCGTTCAAATTTCGCCCGAAAAATTTTGCTCGAAGTTTCTACAGAAAAGGGCGTATGATCTCTTGCCAATAGCACCGCTCCGATGCTGCAACGCTTCGAATATTTTAACAGAACGTATAGAACATTGTCAGTCATTCGTCAGTTATTTTTGTTGGCACTTCAATATTTCTCCACTCTTTCACAGCAAGACTAAAATCAGAATTCTAAGTTGATATTTAGATTGAGTAAACTTACTTTATTTCGCGCAAACTGTAGAGAAGTCAATAAAACACTTAATGGTGTAGTCCTCGAATATTGTTTACACTATTTTGGCATCGGATGTCACACAAGGGTGGTTTTCAAAAGTTTTAAAACTCCGTCAACATAATTGCTTTGTTTTGGGGATGACTACGCTAACAGAGCAGAAAAAACCAATCTAGGAAGTATGTGTTTTTTGTTCGATGAACTATTTTTTCGCTCCAAAAAGAAAATAACTGCAAATTATTGACGGCACATACTTTATTATAAATTGTGGTAGAAGCCAAGAGCCATTTGAGGTTGTTGCTATCACCCTTTCTTCTAATAACATTTACCTTCTCGTGCTGATTTGATAAATATTTGTAATAGGTGAATGAGTAAAATATTTAAATACGAATGACCAGTATTTGAAGGCTTTTTAACACCTTGACATTTAATTGTCAGCGGAGAAATAAGGTGGGCCTAGAGATCGTCAGTGTGAATTAATTGCAAATGCAGAACAATATTTTTAACTTGAAATTAAACAAAAAATGATATCAAACCTAAAAATTATAAAAGCCTCTTAATAAAGGTCTTATTTCCTCGAATAAGCGCCCACCCCCAAAGCCATAAGAGCCTCCTCCAATAGGAGCCATTCACCCCTCCCCTCCCCCTCAATTTCTTACAAGAAAAATCAGTTTCTAAAGCGTATGGACTATGGTATGCTTGATAAGCAAGCACTGTTTCAACAAACGAACGACTTTAATATTGCTTTTAGGTTTACATCAATGACGGTGTAGTTTTCGTTTTTATTTTTTTTATTTAACAATTTGGCCTTTTAATTACAGTTTGTTTTTATGAAACGCGTAAAAAGCACCCCCCCCCCTACCTTAATTAAGCGTTTCCTTCCCATAAACGCCCATCGTTTAAGCTGAAATTTGAGATAAGCGGGCGCACATTCTAGAGAGAAATAGGACAAAACCTTAAATCAAATAAAGTACACCTCCTTCAAAAAAACTTCAATCACTTATATTCTCATGCGGCATTGTGTGATGTTTGTCTCTTATTGTTTTCATCTCTTCTAGGCGAATTTCTCAGAGAAGGAAAAGAAACGTGAGTTATACAACTGACTAGCTACAACGAAGGAATATTGGGACACTTAACACAAGAAACCCCACCATTCAACGTCACCTCTGGGAAATGTATTTTAAGTGCTGTGAACACGTTACTGTACATTATTGTTGGGAAGTGAAGTCAGTGGACACATCTCTTACTAGCAAATTATCGGAAAAGTGGCTTTTACCACTTAATTTGCAGGAATGATATATACATTTTTTAATTTCTAGAAAGGATTTTTAACCACTGTCCCAAAGATATGTGCCCTCTATTACACATATCTTAGAAAAGCAGGCACACCAAGTGGCCTAATGCTTTACTGTCAAATTATAAAGGCAAAAAAATTTAAATTTGTTGTACAATTTTTGAAGAATTGGGGCGCTAATTAACCACTCCGAGAGCGAAGCCTCTTTTTTTTCTTCTTGGGTGAGGAGGAGGAGGCGGCTCTGACCGAATCGTTTCTAACCTTTAAATTCGACGAAGCCTATGATTCTCGATTAGTCAATCTTGTTCTTTATCGTCAGACTGAATTTCTGAGTGCAGGCATCTGTTACTTGATAAATTGATGATTATAGCTGAGCTCGCTGTACCTGGCACACGGCATTTAGGCCTGGGTCTAAAGCTGTTTCCGAGCAATAAGCATGCATACTCAACAAATATTTTGCTCAATTCATTCAGAGTCTTTCTCAAGTACGCCAAAATCGAGGAAATGAAAGAAAGTCTTCGCTAGCAGGGTGCTAATTTACCTGCTTTCATCATTGCCACACGATTTATTTTAATATACACCATGGTAATTAAAGATGATTAGGGGTAAAAAGAACAGAAGATTTTACATACACTTTTTGCTTTTTGCTGTTGCTTAATCAACTAATCTCAAGTGTTTTGTGTGTGAGAGTGTTTGAAATAACTTCCTGTGTACTTTGAATCAGATTTTCGAGAGGCATTCGAACTTTTTGATCATGACGGCAGCGGTTTCATAACCACTGACGAGATTGGAGTTGTCATGAGGAGACTGGGACAGAATCCTTCTCCCCAGGAAGTGGAAGACATGATAAGAGATGTTGATGCTGATGGTGAGCATGCGCATTCTTAAGCTAGGCTAAGGCTCCTTTCAAACGTCGTGCTACTGCCGTGTTGAACTCAAATGAATTTGACCCGGTAGTTGCACGGCAAAAGCACGGGAGTGGTTTCAAACGTCAAATATAATTCAGTCGCGCCAAATTCAAAATAAAGAAAACGTCAAAACAAACGTTCCATCCAGCGCCCACGGTCAGCTACAGTATGCGCAGTCAGGCGCAGTAGAGTCAAAACACACTTAAACATATCCATTTTCATAACTTATGAATTGAGTTCGGCCCGGCAAACGCGCGACGTTTGAAACCGAGCCGTGCCACTACCGTGTAGGACGGCAGACCCTGTCGAATTTCATTGCTGTGTCGAACTAAATTCAAGTTTCTGAACTTAATGATTTCAAACGTCGTTCCACTACCGTGCCAAAGTCGAATTAATTCTATCAAATGAGTTCTGCACGGCAGTAGCACGACGTTTCAAACAGGCCTTAGTCCACAAGGGAGTCTGTTCAAGTTTTCAGTTCACACTTGAACGATGTAACGATGAACGTGAAACAGTGCAGTGGTCAAGGGGTCTTAAGCCACTTAACTCAGTTGGAAAATCGAAAGGCAAACGTATGCGATTACGGGTGTCGACATTACCGAAGTAAAGCCGATTAATGTCGCAATTTATATTTGATTGTAAGGGCGCTTACTAACCGCCCTGAAGTCCAATAGGCCAATTTCGAGTTCCAAAAACCCTCGCTTTCAAAATGAGGCTAAATGCACAACCTTTCTCGAGAAAATAAGTTACGTTTGCTTGAGAATGAAGAATCACTTTCATATCAAAGGCTGAGCACCTAACCTCGTTTTGATACAAAGGCCCAAGGGAACTCGGAAATGACCTATTGTAGAGAGAATCCCTCCTCTTGAATAGTACACAAAATATTGCAACCATTTTGGAATACTCAGGCAGTGCCGCCCTCTGATTCCATGGCCGTTTTCTGACCCTAGCTTAGCTCACCATTGTAATTCCATTTTCAGGTAGTGGACACATAGACTTCAATGAGTTCCTGGTCATGATGTCCCAGACAAAACAAAAGAGTGGAGAGCTGGAACTTCGCCAGGCCTTCCGTCTTTTTGACGCAGATAATGATGGGTTTATAACATTTGATGACCTGAAGAGGGTGATGCGTAACTGTGGAGAGAACCTGAGTGATTCCGAGCTTAAACATATGTTCACCAAGGCAGATGTCAATAATGATAACCGGGTTGACATGAAAGGTAAATGGCTACTGGTCACGTCTTGTGCATGCAGTCATTTAAGGCTGAAACATGGGCTCCCGGCTGAAATAAACAAAACACCCCCGCCCCGCCCCGCCCCAATCTCCATGTTGAATCCAAAGGGTCAATCCCGGATGGCTTGCTAGCCTGGTAGACCTTGTGACGTGACCGCTTTGAAAGATATTCTATGTAAAACCTTTTCTTTTTGTTTTCCGTGTAAGTTCTGCCAGCCAACGTTCTTTAAGCTGATCGAGTCCCATTAAACAAGATTTAAGGATACAATTTAAGAAAATAAGCGAAGTTTCCGAAGGTAAAAAACCCGAACTTTTGGCGCCTAGAAGTAACGGGCGCAAGAAAGAACGGGGCGCGCGAGGGAGACACGCGATGGGAGATGGAGCGCCTGCCTGAGAGGCCCATGAAAATCGTTTTTACTCGCTTTTTGAGTGTGCAGAAAATTCCTTTGGTTAAGAGACTGCCGAGGGGATAAATTTTCGCGTTGGGCGAAAACCTTCACCTCGCACGTCTTCCTCGCGCGCCCCGTTGTTTCTTGCACTTATTTCTTCCATTTGTTTCTACATATCATAATTGTAAGCATGTTTTACGACGTAGAACGGTAAATAGTAATGGTATAACCTTTGTTTTGTTTGTTTTATGCCCTTGCAGAGTTCACAAGAATTGTCAGCAGTGACTAGATGGAGTTAGCCTTCGTTACTTTTCAATGAAGGCGAATTATTTTTTTCTACTCACCTCAAGTGAATTGTTGTAGATTATTATTCAAGTGGAAGCATGCATCGTCTTTTCCTATTTGTCGTATTTTTGCTGTCAATCGACATTAAGTCGTCATTTTAGTTTTTTTGTCCCACGCCCCCATACAATAATCATTATGGTTCCAATAAATAAAGGTTTGTTCAACTTGGGATGATATCCTTTTGTTGAAGTCATTCTCGGCGTCATAAAGGAATAAAAGTCGCCAAGAGTCCCACTGTGGCTCTTGCAGTCACTAATGAAAGAAATCGTTTGTAAATCTAATCAAATAATGCATTCTGTTGCGCCAACCCTGACCCCCCCCCACTCCCAACCCCAACCCCCTTACCCGCCGTCAAATGAAGACATTAGGGGCTTTAACATCCGAAGACGCGGACGGCAACGAGAACGTCAAAAAAAAGGTTTTATGAGTAAAACAACAACTTTACACGTTCATCGCGCTTTTTTGTATATTCCTTTGCCCATTTTTGCACGACTACGACGTGAAAATACGTAATTTCGCGTTTTATGGAGGACATAAACAGGCAACGAAGAAATTTTATTTCTCTTTTTGAACTTGGATATGGTCCCTAGGAATTCAATTTCAGGAGGATTCGCCTATATTTGACAAAGTAAGTTTGTAGGAATAATGCAATAAAGACTAAAAGAAAGCAATTTCCCTTTCTAAGCGAAGTTCTCGTTTCCCTCGCGTCGTTGGATCTTAAAGCCTATTGTAGCCGGCCTGTCACTATCGTACGACTCTAAAACATTCAAAAGTAGTGTTATTTGCTAGTAGTCTTGGACACTATACACCCGTTTGTAAATTTATTCGCAAGACAACCGGAAGTAGTTTTAGACTATTATTTTTTTTAAGTGTTACCGGAACTTTTTATTAGATTTAATTAATGCAAGTTTTTTCTTTTTTTTTATTGCCTAGTCTTGGTTTGCTTGTTTCCATAAAATTGCAAATTAGAAGGATCTTTTCTTTTTATATCTTTATATTTATTATCATTATTATTTAATAGCTGTTTCTAATTACATGACTGAGATCGATTGCCATTTATATCAAGCTGTCACTTGGTGACAGTTGTGATGTTCAATTTCTTTTCAACCTTCACGTTCTTGCAATCAAGGCTATTAACAGACACTGATTCATTTACGCCTTTGATACACACAGTACCTTCTCCAATATGGTAAGTCTATACGCACTTGTTAAACAATAGCCATTGCTCTTCAGTACGGTACTGGTTTTTTCGCTTCTGAGTTCAATTTTGCCCCACTTTGAATTGCATATTTGGAAGGCAATCTGTGATGGCTTTCGCTCAAAGAAAGTAGTCTTACATTCTGTCGGTTCTGCTATTATTGCACAACGAATAATTAAAGGGGTCTCCAACATCGAAGTTTTCGCATTTTTTCGTCCAAAGACATAAACAAAGCCTTTCCTTCCTTCTGAGAATAAAACGATGTTGCTTATCTCCAAGTCGTGTTTCAAAATGCTTGGGCAAATGAATTTTGAGAAATGCAATACATAAGGGCTTTTTTGAAAGCGTCACTTTTTCTATTTCTCTCTCTCTCGGTTTCACAACTAAGTGCGGGTTTAATAGTATAGGAACGCTCTCTTTAAAGTGGTATAAATATCGCTTAAATCTTCATGTGTTTTAAGTTCGGTCAGAGGTTATTCGGAACTGAGATCCAGCGAGCCAAAGAGGTTAACAAATATCTGTTTAACAAAAATGGCCATTGATGTAGATCATAACACTAAATAAATCTTCAAAGTTTTACAGACTGCCGAGTCAAATTCGTAAAGTGCATTTGCAGGTACAAACATCAAATCTTTGTTATAAAAAGAGTGCGATTCTTGTCGAAGAATTGTCCACAAAAATGGCTTATTTTTATCGCTTTACAGTGCAGTTACGATCATTCTGAACATGTTCTGTCGTCCGGTTTGAATGATATCTTGAGTAAAAATCAAAAATCCTGCCTGACCAAAACAGATTAACTGCTTCTAAGTATACTTTCTTGCTTTTGATAATCTAAATTAGAGATCCATTCCACAAAAACAAAACAAATACAAACGCGAACATTCCGCTCGTCGCACGGGGTTTGTCCCTGTTCCACGAGCGTGACACACGCGAAGAATTCACCTTTCGCACGAGGGCCAAAGGCATTGACCGAACGTTGAATTAGCCTTAATGTTCAGGCCCCAGTTCAGTGTTCAAAAGTTGGTTAGCGCTATCCACCGGATAAATCGCTATCTAATGGAACTAATTGCGCTACTCAGTGGATAGTGATTTATCCACTGGATAGAGCTATCTACCTTTTGAACAACGAGGTCAGGTGTGGAAACTGTTGCACGGAATAAATAAGATCCATTACGAAATTCCTAATTCCAGTCTTTTCAAGTTCCCGTCCTCGCCTTACTGTCTAAATTAATTTACCAATCAATTTATCTAGTATCTATTCATCCATCCATCCATCCATCGATCCATCCATCCATCCATCCATCCATCCATCCATCCATCCATCCATCCATCCATCCATCCATCCATCCATCCATCCATCCATCCATCCATCCATCCATCCTTCTCTAATGAAAGAAATCGTTTGTGAATCTAATCAAATAATGCATTCTGTTGCGCCAACCCTGACCACCCCCGCCCCCCAACCCCCTTACCCGCCGTCAGATGAAGGCATAAGGGGCTTTAACATCCGACGACGCGGACGGCAACGAGAACGTCAAAAAAAAGGTTTATAAGTAAAACAACAACTTTACACGTTCATCGAGCTTTTTTTGTATATTTCTTTACCCGTTTTTACACGACTACGACGTGAAAATACATAATTTCGCGCTTTATGGAGGACATAAACACGCAAAGACGAAATTTTATTTCTCTTTTTGAACTTGGATATGGTCCCTAGGAATTCAATTTCAGGAGGATTCGCCTATATTTGACAAAGTAAGTTTATTGGAATAATGTAATAAAGACTAAAAGAAAGCAATTTCCCTTTCTAAGCGAAGTTCTCGTTTCCCTCGCGTCGTTGGATTTTAAAGCCTATTGTAGCCTGTCACTATCATACAATTCTAGAACATTCAAAAGCAGTGTTATTTGCTCGTAGTCTTGGACACTATACACCCGTTTGTAAATTTATTTGCAAAGACAACCGGAAGTAGTTTTAGACTATCATTTTTTTTAAGTGTTACCGGATCTTTTTATTAGATTTAATTAATGCAAATTATTTCTTTTTTTCATCGCCTAGTCTTGGTTTGCTTGTTTCCATAAAATTGCAAATTAGAAGGATCTTTTCTTTTTATATCTTTATATTTATTATCATTATTATTAATAGCTGTTTCTAATTACATGACTGAGATCGATTACCATTTATATCAAGCTGTCACTTGGTGACAGTTATGATGTTCAATTTCTTTTCAACCTTCACATTCTTGCAATCAAGGCTATTAACAGACACTGATTCATTTACGCCTTTGATACACACAGGACCTTCTTCAGTATGGTAAGTCTACACGCACTTGTTAAACAATAGCCATTGCTCTTCAGTACGGTACTGGTTTTTCCGCTTCTGTGTTCAATTTTGTCCCACTTTGAATTGCACATTTGGAAGGCAATCTGTGATGGTTTTCGTTCAAAGAAAGTAGTCTTATAATCTGTCGGTTCTGCTATTATTGCACAACGAATAATTAAATGGGTCTCCAACATCGAAGTTTTCGCATTTTTGCTTCCAAAGACATAAACAAAGCCTTTCCTTCCTTCCGAGAATAAAACGATGTTGCTTATCTCCAGGTCGTGTCTAAAAATGCTTGGGCAAATGAATTTTCAGGAACGCCAATACGTAAGGACTTTTTTGGAAGCGTCACTTTTTCTATTTCTCCATCTCTCGGTTTCACAACTAAGTGCGGGTTTAATGGTATAGGAACGTTCTTTTTAAAGTGGTATAAAATATCGATTGAACGTTTCATGTGTTTTAAGTTCCGTCAGAGATTATTCTGAACTGAGACCTAGCGAGCCAAAGAGGTTAAAAAATATCTGTTTAACAAAAATGGCTATCGATGTAGATCATAACACTAAATAAATCTTCAAAGTTTTACAAACTGCCGAGTCAAATTCCTTAGGTGCATTTGCAAGTATAAACATCAAATATTTTTTATAAAAAGAGTGCGATTCTTGTCAAGGAATGGTCCACAAAAATGGCTTATTTTCATCGCTTTAAAGTGCAGTTACGATCATTCTGAACATGTTCTGTCGTCCGGTTTGAATGATATCTTGAATAAAAATCAAAAATCCTGCCTGACCAAAACAGATTAACTGCTTCTAAGTATACTTTCTTGCTTTTGATAATCTAAACTAGAGATCCATTCCACAAAAACAAAACAAATACAAACGCGAACATTCCGCTCGTTGCACGGGGTTTATCCCTGTTCCACGAGCGTGACACACGCGGAGAATTCACCTTTCGCACGAGGGCCAAAGGCATTGACCGGACGTTGAATTAGCCTTAATGTTCAGGCCCCAGTTCAGTGTTCAAAAGTTGGATAACGCTATCCACCGGATAAATCGCTATTCAATGGATGGGAAACTAATTGCGCTACTCAGTGGATAGTGATTTATCCAGTGGATAGAGCTATCTACCTTTTGAGCAACTGAGGTCAGGTGTGGAAACTGTTGCACGGAATAGATAAGATCTATTACGAAATTCCTAATCCCATTCTTTTCAAGTTCCCAGTCCTCGCCTTACTGTCTAAATAATAATAATAATAATAATAATAGTAATAATAATAATAATAATAATAATAATAATAATAATATTTATAGGGGGAGCCCAACTCGCCAAGGCGGTTTTCAGTGGGGCCCTCATGCATTAATCTAACTAATTAATTAATAATTACGAAAAAAGTAAAATATGTTTACAAGTAAAACAAATTTAAAAATTTAAAATCTTAAAATCGATTATACAAAAAAATATCAAGGTTTAAAATTAGCTGAGATCTTTTAAAAAAGTTTTTAACTTGGATTTAAAAATAGATAAAATATTACACTCTTTTAAATCATTTGGAAGGCTGTTCCAGTCTTTCGCGGCGTGAAAAATAAAAGTTTGTTTACCCCAGTTTGTTCTGGGTAGGGGTAAGCGAATATCATTAGAGCGTCTTGTATTATATGAATGAACAGCTTGACTTTTAGTAAAATTAAAGTTGAAATCGGTTTCTCCAATAAGACACTTGTGGATTGCAATGCAGCGATGAAAAAACCTTCTTGTGGACAGTGACTTCAAATCTAGACTTTTCAGTGCTTCAGTTGACGAGCTTCGGGGTGGTTGCCCCAGCATAACTTTAGCAGCTTTATCCTGTAGAATCTGTAATTCTGACATGATGTTGTCATTGTTTTTGTCCCCCCATATAACGTCTCCGTAATCAAAAAGAGGAAGGATTAGGGAATTGTACAAGGCAACTCTAGCTTGTAGCGGCAATAGATTCCTGATTCTCCTAATTAGGCCTATTCTCTGATTAATCTTCGTGCTGATAGCATCGACATGATCTGCCCAGGACATAGACTGTTGAAGCGTTACGCCTAGGTATTTGAATGATTGTGTTCTTTCAATGCTAGTGCCCTCTTCTTTAACCGAAATGCCTTGAATACGATTCAGTTTCTGAGGACTTTCAAAGATAACAAAATTACATTTGGATATATTTAGTGTCAGGAGATTTCTAGAGAACCACTCAGACACTGTCCCCAAGTCAGCATTGATGTGATGTTCAAGATCACTGACGCTTTTGGATGAGTAATAGAGTACAGTATCGTCCGCATAAAGAATAATATCGCTTGCCAGGTGACAGTCCGGAAGATCATTCACGTAAATTAAAAACAATAAAGGTCCCAATATACTGCCATGGGGTACTCCAACAGGCATTTCGGTAGATGCAGAGTGAGCATCTCCAACTGATGTAATTTGAGATCTGTTTGTGAGGTACGATCTAAACCACTGGGTGGTAGAGGTGGTAAGACCGATGTTCGTCAATTTTTGCAGCAGCAGGGGATGATCCACTGTATCGAAGGCCTTAGACAGGTCCAGAAAAACAGCACCTGTAAAGGAACCAGCGTCCATATTCTGGAGGATATTGTCTGTGAAATGAGATAGGGCTGTTCCAGTTGATAACTTCGGCCTGAAACCAAATTGCTTAGATGTAAGGATACCATTGTTCTTAAGATAAGCGTACAGTTGGGTGTGCACGGCTTTTTCTAGAATTTTACTGATCGTTGGCAGCACAGTAATGGGTCTGTAATTGTTAGCATCACAATTAATTTACCAATCAATTTATCTAGTATCTATCTATTCATCAATCCATCCATCCATCCATCCATCCATCCATTCATTCATTCATTCATTCATTCATTCATTCATTCATTCATTCATTCATTCATTCATTCATTCGTTCATTCGTTCGTTCGTTCGTTCGTTCATTCATTCATTCATTTATTCAATCATTTATTTATTTGTTTGTTTGTTTGTTTATTCGGGCAATCAAGGGGAATGTTACGGAGAGAAGAATTTTTTTGTTTTGTTCGTAGGCGGACAAATTTACAGATGAAGAAATATCAGGTTTGGAAGATCATTCTTTCATTCATTTATTTATGTATCATTTTAATTCATTGATTTACTTTTGTTGGTTTAAGGATGTCCATAAAAATTATACAGTCAATAAACAGATAGAGATAAATAAAGAATGATGGTAAATTTTCAGCTCGGTGGAGAAATGTGATCCTATATAGCAGTATGCCGGACGTATGTCATACATGAACCTTGTATATGGCCTAGCTTGCCACGAGTCCTTCGTAGCTCAGTGGCTAGAGCATTCGACCAGTCGGTGCGGAAGGTCATACGTACAATTCCTATCGGAATTTCCCGTGCTCGCGACATGTTAATCACATCATTTCTCAGATAATGGTTGCTTTTTCACCGTCCTTTCCTTATAGAGTACAGGGAGGCTTTTCAGCTGTTTGACAAGGATGCTGGGGGAACAATAAGCATAAAAGAACTCAAGCAAGTATTTGAAGCGTTAGGACAGAGTCCAACTGAGGCGGAAGTCCAGGAAATGATATCTGGGGTCGATAAAGACGGTACGTATATCCCGCTAGCAAGGAATATGACCCTTAAAAGTATGAGGAATGATTCTGGGGTTTACTTAAAGTGAAGGCGGTACTGATAGCCCGCCTGCAGTGGATATGTCTTGGGAAGTACGGGGAATGAATGATATCTGGGGTAGATAAATACTGTAGGTATTAAGCTCGCTAACCAGGAGTATTACCTTGGAAGTATAAGGAATGATGGGGTGTATAAAGGCGGTATGGATAGCCCGCCTGCAGGGGAAGTAAAATACCTGGGAAGCACAGTCAATGAAATATGGGGTAGCTGAGGACGATACGTATAGCCTACCAAGAATGTCTACCTTGGAAGTACAGCGAATGGTATTTTTGCAGTGAAATTTCGTTCCAAGCGTCTGTACGTTCTCCTACACTGGGAACTTCTTTTTCGATTTTCAGTTTTAAATATATATAGACAATTTATTTAAGGGGAGGGGACAGAAATATCCGCACGAACTACAGACTAAAGAAAGCGACCGTAGTAATAAAGCAACTGTGACTCAGTACCTACAGATGAAACAAACGCATCCCTAAGCCAGAGCTATGAAAATCTGATGAAATACATGATCTTCCCGAAAAGAGGTGTTTAATCGTCTGCATATTTATGTGGCAAGCATACAAGACCCATCGTTATATTGCATGATTATGACCTTTACAGGAGTTCAGTATAGGTACTTTATACACTGATTTAGGAACCCATATGGGGAGCATGAAACCAAATCATGGTTTTGAGTCTGATGTTGAAAAAAAACTGAGTAGTGGCGATTCGTCCCTGTTGAATCACCGTCAATTTATAATTAATTTCATTTCACGACATTTTAACACAAAACGACTATACTAGTTCAGAGTATGCCAGATTATGGGGATAGGATGTCTTAATACAACGTCAGGAGTGACAATGAAATATTTTCCATGAAAACAGGTTAATTAGTTTGAAAATTAAAGGCTGCAATAAATACAAAGCTTCGAGACACTTTGGCGTTAAAATGTTCTCCTTCTCATGAAGTCTAAAGAATATAGGAGGCAGTATAATAGGGTTTGAAACCACACATCTTCAAAACTGGGCAAGCCTTTTAGACTCGTTTCTTGAGTTGACTTTATCATTCAATCACTCCTTTCCCCAGGAAGTGGTGAGATAGATTTCGATGAGTTTTTGCAGTTAATGGCCTCCAAGCAAGCCAATATGACGATGGAAGACGAGTTGAGGAATGCGTTCAATGTATTTGATAAAGACGGCAGCGGTTACATCTCGTCCGACGAACTCAAACAGGTCTATAGTCTCTTTTAAAAAATACGAAATAGCACCATAAGAATCATCACTAATCATCATCATCGTCATCATCATCATCATCACATTATCTTCCGGCAGACGCAATTATGTTGGAGGAATGACGTAAACACAACGTCTAGCAACATTTCTTTCTCTCAGAAGTTGGATACTGATCTCAATAATTCAACTCCAGGAGGGTTCGCCTACACTTGACAGTGGAGTGAATTGGGCTAATACTAACCACGATAAAGTTCAAACAACGCTATATCACTTAGTAAGAGGTTTTAGTAAGTTGGTGTTGTTCTTGCTTCAAGCTATAGACGACTTATGCCTGTGCCTATTTTTTGCATATGGAGTTCCTCAAGTAAAAGCAGGGTTCTCTGTTTAGTGACGTAAGCACCTAGGACCCTCCCTGGATGAGTTGCGAGACCATCCTTGTCCTCAGGGTCTTTAATCTCCAAGAGAATGAACCCCGGGAAAAAAAACACCTTAGAAACGAAGTATGAGGGACCATTCCCAGCAGAACATCGCAGGTACTGAATTGTACACAAACCTTGCTTGATGCAAAATAAGTTCTTGGTCAGAGAAAAGGACTTCGGGGAGCTTCAACCCATACCTACTAGCCACAACCTTAATTACGACGCACATTTTAGTATCTGAAAATCTGGAGGCAAATACTCGGGTACAAAAATATCATCTTTGGAAGGTTTACGTTTTCCGGTTTTAGAGGTGTCTTCAACGCAGAGCGTCGCAATTAATAATAAAGTTGTGTTGTGAACTTTCAGGTTATGACTAATCTGGGTCAATCGCTGACAGACGAAGAAATTGATGAAATGATGAAGGAAGCTGATTGCGACTCGGACGGGCAAGTCAGCTTTGAAGGTAAGTGATCTTATGTGACGTTAACCTTCACCTATTTTTGCCTTGCTACATAAGCAACTCAGGAAAGCGATTTGACAAGAGCTTCAAGAGTAATAACTCATTGGGCCAAAACAAGTTTTAACCATGACAGCCCTCACTCAACTGACGTCACATTAGTTTAGGCGTCAATGTATTTAGAGCTGTTTTATGTCTCCTACTCAGAAAAGAAAGCGCAACCATTTCTAATTGATCATCTAGGTCGCGTGAAGGTCTTGGCGGTTGTAGGGCAAAGACAGTACTTTCATTTCTCTTTTATTTTTTTGTAGTCCCTGGTCTTGGCTGGGCCCCAATCGAACCCGCGACATCCTTGACTGCAGCACAGCCCTCTGACTAAGGGAATTCTACCCCTCATGCAACTGATAAAAAAAATAAATAAAAATCTGTAGCTTTATCAAGAAAAACGACAAGGGCATGGTGAACCCGCTTCTCATTTTTACTTTGTCACCAAATTTTGCAAACACGCACTGCAAGCTATCAATTTCAAAGGCCACGCTCTTGCAACCCATGCAGGGAATGTCGCTTACTGCATTATTTGTTGTCAATAACGCAAATGACGTAACTGCGATCATTATCAGCGTCTTCGTCGAGCCTACACCTCGCATTATGTAAGGGAATCCAGAAAATTTTTGCTTCAATTGGAATCCGAGAAAATTTTGCTTTTGGTATCCGGAATCCTGGGTTCTTGAAACCGGAATACAAAGTAAGGATTGGGAATCCAGAATCCAAGTTCCACTGACAAAGACTGGAATCCAGTACTTAGAATGTGGAATCCACGGCGTGGAATGCAAAATCCAAGACCGCCTTGGATTCCTTTACATAGAGCAATACACCTCTTTTAGCATAGCAATGCGTAGCCTAAGAAAACAGCTGACATTTGGCGACGCTAGCACTGGTTTCCCCGCCAAATGACGTCTGAGAAACGAGTGCAGAAATTACATACTGATGACGTGTCACTAACCAGATCTGGGTAGTGCTTCTGATTGGTTGAATCAAATTTCCCACGCGGCACCACCGAAGTACTGCCTAGATCTGGGTAGTGACGCGTCATCAGTATGGAATTTCTGCGCTCGTTTCTCAGACATCATTTGGCGGGGAAACCAGTGGTAGCGTCGCCAATGACGGCTGTTTTCTCAGGTTAAGCAATGCAGGGCAAAACGTTTATAGCGCGCCTGTCCGTTTCGTAGTACAAGAAAACGTTTGTCTTGATAAAGTATAAATGAAGTGCGTCTTCACCTGTAAAGACCAAATCCCGGTAAAACTTTGTGTTTTCTCATTTCAGAGTTTGTGCAGATGATGACCAATATCGCGTCATAAGGCAACGGACGGACTCTTTTATCATAGATTTTTCAAACTATTTTCAAGAGGTTACCTTTCTGTTTTACCCTGTTTTACTTTGGGTTCAAATTATCAACAAACACAAGTTTCTTCGTTAGTCTCACTAGAGGTTGTTAACATTTTAAAATTCCTTGAAAAGCTCATATGAGTAAAAGGAAATAGCAGGCCTTCTATGCACCCCCACTTTTGAATCAACGATTAATGCAGAAGTTGACGATCTTGGTCATTGGATAAAGCTCGTTATGTCATGTAGTCTTGTCGGCTGTGACTAAAGTGGATACCCCAAAGTTAGGCCGTTCCCTTCACTTAAAATGCATTAAAACTCAAACTATTACAAGAAGAAACTCTGCAGAGCTTGACGTTTGAGTGTACTCTTAAACCAAATATTTGTATTGCTTACCTTGAATATATCAGCATCTACCACACCATCGAATCACCACCAGAACTACTAGAAAGGTGATACAACATACTCATATGCCATTTGCTTATTGCATATAATTTGAAAGAGTAACCGTTGCCTTGTCAGCCGTTGCCTTGTCCGTAGGCCTCATTATTTCGCGTGGCTAATGCGTTTCGGATCACCTGGTCTGAGCGAGTTCGCCACCGAAATGCCTTGACCGAGATTGCGTGGGAAGACGCCGTACAGAGACTAGGCATGGCAATGTCTACCGTAGCGTCAGAGCAAAACAGGGAAATGTTGTTTATGGGCAACGTGTTTTGCAAACAGTGAGATCTCTGCGTGTTGTTTCAATAGTGTTTCGAGGGCACGACCTTCTGAAAATCCCAAATATCCCCAGCAAGAAGCCACACTTTCGCTATGGAAAAAAAAAATTAGTTCCCCGAGAGAGCGGCGGAAATGGAAATGGGTCTTGGTCAACACCTAAAAGGCGCTTTACCTAACGTGCGTACGGAGCCACACTAGCCGGAAAATGAAAAAAAACCCAACCATAAGTGAGTTTAGTACCTTCCTTAAAAGTAGCAAATCTAGGGAACAGTTTCTTTTACGGTTAACTGTTTTTTACCCTATTTATGGCTAACGGTTAAAATTTTTCAATTTTTACGGCTATCGAGTAAATTTTTGGCCGTTTTATGCCTATCGGTTAACCCCATTGAGACCCTCACAAAATAGCTACCGAAGAATTACTACAGAGGTTGCAGTAATTCAAATAGATATATGATATTATTTTACCCGTTCCATTCAGTAAGTCAAATTCTTCTCTACTAACTAATTAAAGAGTGGGGGCTCTTCGACTTTTCGTACAACCTCGCTATTTTCTAAATTTCTTTTAGGCAGCAGTAGGAAGCTAAACAAAAACTGATAAATATCTTGAACGACTAATAATAACAATTATCTTTCAACATGAGGGTAATTTAAGAGACACGGCTCCCAAAAACAGACATACAAACAAACAAACCAACAAAAACAGAACAATTCAATACAGGGCCCAGATTGACTTTGTAGCGTAAAGGTTTTAAACGGATTTATTAAGGCCTTTAGTGCCAAGAATGAAATGTACGCCCCAGTGACACACTTTCAGTTCTCATCAGTCTATGTTCTAGTATAGCAAAAGACCATTTACAACCTAGAAATTGCAACGGACACTTCAAGCCGAGTTATACTAAAGAGTCTGCGGCCTCTTTAAATTAAACCAGCGAAAGAACACTACAATAGAGGGGGTGGTTTTGGAACATGACACAGACTCAACTCAGT